TGTCCAGTTGTCTCAGCACCATTTGTTGAAGAAACTATTCTTTTCCCATTGAATAGTCTTGGCACCCTTGTTGAAAATCAATTGGCCATAGATGTATGGGTTTTTTTTTTTCCTTTTTGTCTTTTTTACTGACCGGTAACAGGATCCCAACCCTTGGTGTCGCGCCCGTACCGGGGACCAGCAACGGGATCGCAACCCTCGGTGTTGCACCCGCACCGCGCTCAGCCAGTGAGCGGGAACCGGTCTCCACATGGGATCCGAACCCTCGGTGGGAGCGCCGCCACGCTCCCAAGCGGTGCACTCTCCAGTGCGCCACCGGGCCGGCCCTAGGTTTGTTTTTTGATTCTCACATCTGTTCCATTGGTCTACATGCTTATCTATCCTTATGCCAATACTACACTGTATTGATTACTGTGGCTTTGTGCTAAGTTTTGGAATTAGGAAGTATGAGTCCTCCAACTTCTTTCTCAAGATTGTTTTGGCTATTCAGGGCCCCTTGCAATCCCATATGAATTTGAGGATCAGCTTTTCCATTACTGAAAAAAATATCATTAAAATTTTGTTAAGGGTCTCATTGAATATGCAGATTTCTTTGAGTAGTATTGCCACCTTAAATTTTCCAATTCGAGAATGTGGAATGTCTTTTAGATATATTTCCTAAGTACATCTTTCTCATATTTAGGTCTTCTTGAATTTCTTTCAGCAATGTTTTATCATTTGCAATGTAAAGATTTTTATCTCCCTGATTAAATTTATTCATAGGTATTTTATTCTTTTAGATACTATTGTAAATGGAACTTTTTAAAAAATTTCCCTTTTTGATTGTTTATTGCTAGTGCATAAAAACACAGCAGACTTTCACATGTTGATTTTCCCTCTCACAATTTTGTTGAATTAATTTATTGGCACTAATAGTTTTTTGTGGATTTTTTAAGGATTTTTGTATATAAGATCATGTAATTAGTGAATAGGGATAGCTTTACTTCTTCCTTTGCAATTTGGATGCCTTTTATTTCTTTTTCTTGCTTAATTGCTCTGGCTAATACCTTCAGAACAATATGAATTGTAGTGTGGAAAACAGGCATTCTTGTCTTGTCCCTAATCTTAGGGGAACTTTACCATTGAGTATGATGTTAGCTGCGGGTTTTTCATTAATGTTCTTCCCTAGCAGTAATTTGACTTCTCTGAGTGTCAGTTTTCTCTTCTGCCATTTGTCTTTTTTTCTGACAGATACATTTCTTGACCCTTTCCAATATCTCTGAAAGGCTTCACCTCCTCCATGGCCCCAGCTCCAACCAGGCAGCCTCCATACTGGGCAGTCCTGGTTCCTTCTGGACACTCTAATCCTTGAAGGACAAAAATGGATTACTCTTAATTCCTTTTTGAGTTGTCTCTTCACCCCTATTTCTTATTTGTTTGGTTGAGTTTTTTGCTCTCCCATCACCTTTTCTGGTAGTTTCTTTTATAAAATACCCCTCTATTGAATCATTAATTATGGGCTCTTTTTTCCTTACTGGACCCTGAATGGGATACATGGAGTTAAGAATACCTATTATTATTATATCTCTATATAATAACAGAGAATATTCTGGCAGTCAGTTCATTTTAGTTCATGTTCATGAGAATCATCCTAGTCCAAGCCACCATTCTATCTTGCTCAGATATGGTAATAGTGTCCTAAGAGTTCAATACTGCTTTTTGCTTCTTTCCAATTGCATCTTCATATAGCAGCCAGAACAACTGTACCAGTTCAGATGTGTATATGGATGCAGGTAACAGAAACTTTCTAACTGGATTATAAAATACGAAAATCTGTTATATCACACCATATGCTCAGACTCAGAGTTGATGAATTCAGTAGCTCAGTGATGCAGTCTGAGACCCAAATTTATTCCCATTATTCCCATCTTTCTCTGCCATCCTGTTTGTGCTCAGGCTGATTTCCTTCAAGATGGCTAGATGGCTGCCTGTGGTAACTGGGATAACATTCTTTCTCATTCACATACAATGAGAGGAGAGAGAGAGAAAGAGAGAGAAAGAGAGAGAAAGAGAGAGAGGGAGAGAGGAAAATCTATTTTTCTGGCCTGGAATGTAAAGAAATTCCTTCACTCTGTTTGGGTCAACTCAGGCCATGGTTGGCTTCTCCAGCCTCTCAAATCAATCACTGTCATGTGGTGGAATGAGTGGTTACCGAAACCCCCCTTCAGATTTCTTTTAGGAGTGAGGAAAGGGAAATGGGTGCTGTCATGGTTGGCTTCTCCAGCCTCTCAAATCAATCACTGTCATGTGGTGGAATGAGTGGTTACCAAAACCCCCCTTCAGATTTCTTTTAGGAGTGAGGAAAGGGAAATGGGTGCTGCTCAGTTATCTTTCTAAGAATTTAAGTCATTTCACATCATTCTGATGCTTAAAAGCCTCCAATTGCTTCCAGTTGCTCTTAGAATCACATCAGGAAGTCTACAAGGCAAACACAATCTTGCACCACCTGTCTGTGCAGTCTAATCTGTCATTTTCTGTCTGCATCTCCCTTCAATTGCTCCAGCTACAACAACCTTGAAAAACTCCCAGGCCCTTAGCTTTATGCACTTGCTGTCCTGTCCACCTGATTGCTCGTCCTTGCAGTCAGCCACACTCTTCATCTGGCTAAAGCCTCTTGGTTCTGCAGATTTCAGCACATGTCACTTCCTGAGAGAGCTTCTCCCGATCACCCTACCTGAAGTAGGTCTCTGCTTGGCTGCCAACGAAGTTATTCTCTCCTATGCCCATGTATATTTCTTCCTCTGCACAACATGAAATGCATTTTACAACTACACATTTATTTGTGAGTTTGTTGTCTAATGTCTTTCCAATCAGAGTGGGGGTTGGAAAACTTTTTCTCTAAGAGGGCAGATAGTAAGTGTTCTAGGTTTTGTGGGCCATACAGTATGGTCTCTGTAACAAGATCATGGGTAACAGGATCATTCCAGGTGTAGCGTGTGTGTGTGAGCATGAGCATGTGTCAATGTAAGCATGTGTGTGTGCATGTGAAGGGATAGAGATCTGAGGCAGGACACAGTGGGCTCAAGGGGGACAGTAAGGGGGACACTGTCTTGAGGACTTCAGGAACTCTTGGGACTTGGTCTAACTCAGGTTTTGTAGTTTTATCTTCTTTGGTGCCTGTCAAGAGGAAGTCTTATAATTAAGATGATGGATGAAATGAAGTTTTACAACTCAGATATAAGTCTTTGATGTCCTTGCCACCCCAGTTCCTTGGTTCTCCATAGTGACCAAGGTTATCTTTCAAAAATGCAAAATTGTCCCCATCACTTGCCTCCAGCAGATGTTTGGTGGCCATGTGTTCCTTTCAGAGGTGTGTTTATGCCATAGACATTACCAAGAGAGAGCTACAGTGTCCCAGGAGTGGCGCTCGCTGCTGGAGCCACAGGTGGGGAAGACACTGTGGTTTCTGATTGCCAAGTTCAATTCTCTTATGTGTGTCATTCAAGACACTTTTCAATCCAAGCTCAGCCTCATTTTTGGTCACTTGCCCATCCCCTCGGCTGTCTTCACACCATTTCCTGGAAATGCCCCACTTTGTGAACCTTTATCTCTTTCTCTTACTTTTCCTAAAACCTTTCCCAAATCTATTAGAATGAATTGTTCTCTCTCTGGGCTGTCATAAAAGTTAATTAAATAATTTGTATAGAAATGATCAAGTTTTATTATAACAAATTGCTTTTTTAATCTGTCTGACCTAATATATGGTGCGTGACTTGAAGACACATGCTGTGTCCTCCTCATGCTTATATTTCTAAGGGACAAAGTAGGGTACCTGGCATAAGTCAGTAAAATTTGGGGCAATTGTTGCATTGAATTACTTACAAAACAGAGATAACAGACTCCTCTTCTGACTATATCACAAAAGGGTTAGAGGCACAAATGATCTCACCGATGTGGAAGCTTTTAGAAAACAGAATGTTATCTAAACATAAAGCAGAATTATCTATTCTTTTTATATTTAATTATATTGAATTCCTTTTTCATAGGGGTATAATTTTTATACTGACATGTTAATATGCTCCTGACAAATTCTTAAGAATTTGAACTTTCATTTTATAAGAGAAGGAAGAGAGCAATAATGAACCTAGAAAATCAATCATGTTTTGATATTGTACTCTAATTATGTAAAATGTAACCACTGTGGGAAATTGGCTGAAGGGTACATGAGACCTCTCTGTACTCTCTTTGCAACTTCCCGTGACTCTGTAATTATTTCAAAATAAAGAGTTTTAAAAAAATCACTCTTAATGGTAGATTTGTATGTGCCCTGGGCCACCACACTTTCATATCTGGAGGGCCTTCAGAGGTCTGTCTGTTTATCACTGAACGCCTGAGGTCAGCAAGGAGGTAGAGAAGGAAACCTGGTGGACTGACACCCCCAGAGTGACAGGTTAATCCTCTGTGCCCTTCAGTCTCTGCTCCAATCTCACCTGCTCAAGGAGGACTTCCTGGGCCTTCCTGTCTTAAAGGGAGACTCCAATCTTTCCTCCCACACCTTCACTTTCCAGCTTCATTTTTCCTCACACACTCACCATCTTTACTTACTGTATATTTTTTACTTCTTTATTTTAGTTTCTGTCTCCTCCCACTAGAATGTAAGTTCCATGATGGCAAGAATTTTTTTAAAAAGTGTAATGTTATATCCTTATTGACTGGAAGAAAGTTTGGCATGGGGAATGCACTCAGCAAATGTTTGTCGGATGAATGAATCTTTGTAGAAAATGAAAGCTTGAAAATCAGCTGTTTCCCCGAGAGAGAAGTAACTCAAATCTGCCCATCTTTGTACGAGAGCAAACCTGTCTTTGAAACTGAAACATTTTTCCTGTGTTCATACTTCAGAAAAAGAAGACACGGCTGATAATATCTGAAAGGAAGGAAGCAGTGCATTGTGCTGGGCCTCTGTATGAAACAGTATAAAAGTTATTTTTTTTACAGACCAGCCTTCTAAACGGATTCCAGAGATGAATTATCTTACTTTCCTCTTGGCTATTCTTCATGTATACAGAGGTAAAGATAATCTTTATGTCTTTATTTTAACAATTTACTCCTTTTTCGGTCTTACAGTATGATACGTTCAGAATTTATGATACTCTTTGGCTGGCTTAGATAATTTCTCACTTGTCCAGAAAAAACTAAGTTACAAATGCCAATTATCAGCAGTGGAAACCTTTTTAGACTAAGGTAGAAACTGTCAGCCTTTACTGTGATCTCAATTTACTATCTTGCTAGGTCTTTGAAAGCTTAAGATACTTTTTTGGTGTTTCCATCATCAACTCTTACTGAATTTATTTGATGTTGTGTATTTCAGCTGTATGTGAGGAGATACTTTGGGACACAACTGTTAAACTTGCTGAGAATATGACTCTAGAATGTGTGTATACATCAACGGACTCCTTAACCCAGATGGAGTGGTTCAAGATCAATGCATCGAAGAAAGAGTCCATTGCCATTTTCAACCCTACTTATGGTGTGATCATAAGGAAGCCCTATGCTGATAGGGTGTACTTTTTAAATTCAACGATGAGTCCCAATGACATGACCCTTTCCTTTCACAATGCCTCTGAAGCTGATGTTGGCTTCTATTCCTGCTTTCTTCATACTTTCCCTACTGGATATTGGGAAAAGAAGATACAGGTGGTTCAGTCAGGTAAGGGCAAATTTTGTATTTTGTTTTATCCACCTACAGCATTTGATTTTATAAGGCTCAAGTAGAAGCTACAGAATGCTTTCTCATAATTTTGTGGCATTTTTCCAATGCCATTAATAGATTCTATGATATTATTTCAAAGGAGTAATACTGGGATTCAGTTTGATTTTTCTTATTGCACTATCATTTCTGAGTAGTAGAAATGTCTCACAGATTTGAATGTAGTGGGAGAAAGCACAGGTTTTATGCTGTCTTCCTGATAACTTGAGCTTAGATTAAACTGGTGTCAGCAATGCATGGATTCAACAGCCAGTTCCCTCCTTTTCAATGCTTTATCCCATTCACAGAGAGGCTGGGGTGAGGGAAGGAGAGAAGGCAGAGGGTAAAGGACATCTTAGGGGTCCTGATAGCATGAAGAGTTTTTAAACTAAGGACGATAGCAAATTTCAAAAATATAGTAGTTATATTTCAAAATTAACATTAAGTATACTTAAAATTTTCTTTATGTGTTTTATTAGCAACATACCATAATCTATAAATATTGCATTTTTGTATAATGTCAAGGGGGAGTTTGCAGCCTATTTAACAGTAAAAAAGTTGAACTTGGAATCCAGAAATTCTAATTAGTATAATAGTTAGAACTTCAAAAGGATGAAGGAACTGAGCCACATGCTCTCTAAATATATTAATTTGTTATTTATTGATAGCTTATTATGTGCGAAGAATCTTACACAGTTAGTATCTTACATAGATTTTCTCATTTAACTCCTACTGTATACTCGGATTTGGCTATTACCTTGGTTTACTGGCGAGACCTTGAGGTATAGTGAGATCTAACAGCCTTTCCAAGGCCTTACACTTCCTTTGTGTTTCATCAGCTAATGTTGTAAATAGATATAAAGTGACAGCCTGGGGGACATGGGAGCCCCCTGAGGCTGTCAAAGAGGAAACATGGCCATTGCATGTCCTGTGGATCCCCCTTCCCCCAAGCTTTCAGCCTAGAGTTGAAGAGCAAATTGGACATGTTATTCTGGGTAAACAGTACTGTTAATACAAAATTATTTTTAAATGTGTGTTTGCTTCAGTAGGCATTCTTAATTAGCAACTGATTTACAGGATTTAATGGTAAGAATGGCTGTGTTTACTTTACGTCCTTCATGGAAAATATGCTGAGGTGACTTGGGAGGCAACTCTTCAAAGGCAACCTTTTCACAGCAGTGTGTGGTGGGAGTGCGATCACAGAGAAAATTACTGTCACCTGTGTATATGTGGCCTATAGTGATATTTATGGAAATTCTCCCCCAAATGGGTGACCCACTCAAAGTACTCTGCTACCTGACTTTTACTGGCTGCCTAATCTGTATGAAGCAGCCAAATGTCATGTCATTTAATACTCATGAAACCCCATGGGGAAGTAATGTTTTCCATCACACAACTGAAGATCCGAGATTCAGAGTCATTACCCAACTCATCCAAGGTTGCTGAGCTGCCAAGTCACTCACCAGAGTGAAGACAATTGATGTTTCTGAAGTGCCTGGAATGAGATGGAGAGCCTGACTCCAGCAAAATGAATCAGGGAGGCTCAAGGTAAGGAAAAGTTGAGTTGGACCTTGAAGAATTAGAAGGAATTTTTTAAGACAGAGAGGCTGGGGTGAGGGAAGGAGAGAAGGCAGAGGGTAAAGGACATCTTAGGGGTCCTGATAGCATGAAGAGTTTTTAAACTAAGGACGATAGCAAATTTCAAAAATATAGTAGTTATATTTCAAAATTAACATTAAGTATACTTAAAATTTTCTTTATGTGTTTTATTAGCAACATACCATAATCTATAAATATTGCATTTTTGTATAATGTCAAGGGGGAGTTTGCAGCCTATTTAACAGTAAAAAAGTTGAACTTGGAATCCAGAAATTCTAATTAGTATAATAGTTAGAACTTCAAAAGGATGAAGGAACTGAGCCACATGCTCTCTAAATATATTAATTTGTTATTTATTGATAGCTTATTATGTGCGAAGAATCTTACACAGTTAGTATCTTACATAGATTTTCTCATTTAACTCCTACTGTATACTCGGATTTGGCTATTACCTTGGTTTACTGGCGAGACCTTGAGGTATAGTGAGATCTAACAGCCTTTCCAAGGCCTTACACTTCCTTTGTGTTTCATCAGCTAATGTTGTAAATAGATATAAAGTGACAGCCTGGGGGACATGGGAGCCCCCTGAGGCTGTCAAAGAGGAAACATGGCCATTGCATGTCCTGTGGATCCCCCTTCCCCCAAGCTTTCAGCCTAGAGTTGAAGAGCAAATTGGACATGTTATTCTGGGTAAACAGTACTGTTAATACAAAATTATTTTTAAATGTGTGTTTGCTTTAGTAGGCATTCTTAATTAGCAACTGATTTACAGGATTTAATGGTAAGAATGGCTGTGTTTACTTTACGTCCTTCATGGAAAATATGCTGAGGTGACTTGGGAGGCAACTCTTCAAAGGCAACCTTTTCACAGCAGTGTGTGGTGGGAGTGCGATCACAGAGAAAATTACTGTCACCTGTGTATATGTGGCCTATAGTGATATTTATGGAAATTCTCCCCCAAATGGGTGACCCACTCAAAGTACTCTGCTACCTGACTTTTACTGGCTGCCTAATCTGTATGAAGCAGCCAAATGTCATGTCATTTAATACTCATGAAACCCCATGGGGAAGTAATGTTTTCCATCACACAACTGAAGATCCGAGATTCAGAGTCATTACCCAACTCATCCAAGGTTGCTGAGCTGCCAAGTCACTCACCAGAGTGAAGACAATTGATGTTTCTGAAGTTTTTTTTTTTAATTTTTATTTTGTCAATATACAATGTATATGATTATTATGGCCCTTCACCGACACCTCCCGCCCTCCTCCCTCCCTCCCCTCCCCCCCAAGAATGTCCTTTCCGTTTGCTTGTTATAACAACTTCAAAAAAAAGTATAGTAGTCTGAAGTGCCTGGAATGAGATGGAGAGCCTGACTCCAGCAAAATGAATCAGGGAGGCTCAAGGTAAGGAAAAGTTGAGTTGGACCTTGAAGAATTAGAAGGAATTTTTTAAGACAGAGAGGCTGGGGTGAGGGAAGGAGAGAAGGCAGAGGGTAAAGGACATCTTAGGGGTCCTGATAGCATGAAGAGGCAGAGAATGGCCCTGTTGACGAGGACACTGAGTTCGAGTAGGATGTGGTTTTCATGCTGGACTCCGAGGCCCTTCATGCCCACGAGAGGAGACCTGAGAGGTGGCCTTAAGGTTGGGGCAGAGACTGTGAGGGGCTCAATGGATGATAATTTGGGGTCTCAGGTAAGGTTTCAGTACAGTAGATGTGATGTTAAAGGAGTTGTAGCCGACTGGGGCAATTAAATGCTAGAGATGAGCCTGAAACATTAGTATATCCCAGATCTTGAGATGCCTAATAGAGTTTGAACTTCATTTTGTAATGTAGGCCCTGGGATGTCTCTGAATATTTTTCTGAGAGAGACATAGAATAAACCAATTTTTTTTCCCCTACCACCCAGAGGATTAAACTAGGTGTGGCCTAATAGGGAAAGGTTTAAGGGCATGGTGAGAAAATAGGATTCTATAGGTTGGAATACTTATGTACTAAGTGGACTATGAATTGGTGTATATATTATATTAGTTAGGCTTATCCAGAGAAACAGCACCAATAAGATGTGTATGTATATAGAGAGAGACTTATTATAAGAGATTGGCTCATGTGATTATGAAGACTGGCAAATCCAAATCTGCAATGTGGGTGGCCAGCTGGGGCTGCAGGGGAGTGATGGTACACATGAAGTCTGGAGAAAGTCCTTTTTGCTTGGGGAGGCCAGTCTTTTTGTTCTATTCAGTCCTTCAACCGATTGATGAAGCCTACCTACATTATGAAGGCAACCTGTTTACTCAAAATTCACTGATTTAAATGTTAATATAATCTAAAAACACCCTCCAAGTTGACAAATAAAATTAATAATCAAATCTGTTTTGGAAAATAGTATGGTATGGGCTAAAGAACCCCATAGGTTATAATCCAAAAATTTCACTCTGTTTGATATCTTAGAGATTGACCCATATTGGAGAAATTCTCAACAATGTTTATAGCAACAGTGATTGCAATAGCAAAAAATTGGTAACCCAAATACCCACCAACAGTAGAATGGACAAGTATACTAGAGTATTAGGTATCCACTAAAAATGAATGAATTTCACTATGCTCACCAAAAGGGATGGACCTCAGGAATACCATGTTGAAAGAAAAGAGCAAATTACAAAAAATTACATAGGATGTGATTCTTTTCTTTTAGAATTTTTAAAAACATGCAAAATTAAACAATATGTTATTTATAGATGCAAATTGTGTAAAACTATGGAGAAAAACAAAGTTTTTAAGTGTGCACAGGTAGGAATAAAGAATCAGGAAGGACCGAGTCAAGAAGGACCACAAGAGTCTTCAAAGTTCATAGTCACAGTGTTTTTCTTATACAGGTGTTTTATTTCCCATTTGTCTCAAAAATGTTTTAGAAAATTTCTTTCAAATCTACTGAATTTCTAATAAAAATGGTGCAAAAAGATGCAGTTGTAAATTTTGAACAGTTCAAATATAATCACGTAAGATAAGGATGGGATTTTCATTCTGACTTGGCCTGGGGTAAGAGAGAGGGAAAATTCAGCAATGATTCCAAATTTTTTTTTATCCAGTTACTGAAAAATGGTGGTTTCATTTAAAAAGATGGAAAGTTAGGAGACCAGCTTGGCTTGGAAGAGAGGAAATGAGTCTGTTTCAGGTGCGTTGACTTGTAAAGTGGCCTTTGACCAAATGGCAATTGAGATTATGGAACAGCAAACCAGAAGAAAGTTCAGGATTGAAAACACCAATTTCGAAGTCATCTGAATGATCGCCGCATATGTAAAAAAGATGGTTAACTAGGAAAGTCCTAATGATTAGGGACAGAAGTTCAAGTCATAGTTTTGG